ATTTACTATTAGTACAAGTACTATGGTAATTAATGATTTTAAGCAAAGATTATAGCCATATAAAAATAAACGTGTCTTTTCAATATTTTTTACATAATATTTACATTATATATATATATATATATATATATAATCTCACTTGTATTTAATCTGAATAGTTCTTATATATAGTATATTGCCGGTAACTTGTATCTTCATTGTTGTTACTTTATCTGTCTAATTTGAGAGACACTTCCGGCCAGAACCAAATTCCTTGGTTAATTCTACATACTTGGCCAATAAATCAGATTCTGATTCTGATATTTATATAGCGGGTTTTAGAATAAAATAGACAGCCATCCTGAAACCCACACTGGGTGAAATGAAGGATGAAACAGTACTGGACTTAAGAACAAACAAGTTGGCTAACCATAACCCTAACCCTAACTGTAACCCTCCTAGATATCCGATTCCTTTAGTTACAAGTTGCGAAACTTAACTACCATTGTTGCATCCTACTCAGCAACACTACTGGTGGCTGACAGAAAATGTAGCTTTTGACAGGAAAAAGGATGAAAAACTGACATATTCATCATTGAGTTGGTATCAAAATGATTCAAAGATCATACAATCGTTTTGTTTTAGTTTCACAATAACCAGTCCCACGCGGGTCCAGGGTATGATTCTGCGCAGCCATTTGAGTGCATGTGTGCAACATTACACGTTGAAATCATATTCAATTTTTTGAAGCCCGTTGCCATAAAATTATGCAGTTGATTAAAAAACCTATTTAAGATTTTTTGTGACTACAAATGTAATGCTCGGGATGTATACTGTCTAAGTTTAAGCCTTGATTTCATATGTCCTTTTGTGGTGATGCACAGACAATGAGTCCTGAATGCAGAGCTGTTTGTGAGCGGTGCAGCCGATGCTGACACGCTGTCATTGGCGAGTCTGACCTTGATTCCGCGCTGCTTTGCCTTCGGCTCTGGCCTTCTGACGCGCATTTTCATCATTGTGCTGTAGTAGCTTTCACCACTAGGGCGCACTATCGTTCGCCATGCCTCTCCCCCTCAGGCACATGTAATTCACAAACACCCAGTAAAAATAGATGGATTCATGAATTTTGTAGTGGCAATTGCAAGCTTGTGTGGAATTATGATAATAGATTTGGTGTCACCAATAAAGTCATAGAGGTGCCTGTTTTTCTTCTCTTTTTCCCCTTTTTTTTTATATTCCCCCCCACACCGCCGAGTACTGCTTTATTTTTAATTTCCATTGCAAAGAAAATAAAGGAAAACATAAAACAAAGAAAAAATAATTATAGAAGTATAAAAATAAAACAATGAGCAGCAACAACAACGACAACAGTAACATTAATAACAACATTAATAACAACTCCAGCTGCAACCGTGATACAACAGTAACAATGGCAACATCAACCCCAACATTATACAAATTTACGACAACTTATCATTAAAACACTTTTGGTTATGTGTGTGTGTGTGTGTGTGTGTGTGTGGCGTAGAGGTAGGTGTGGATATGTACCTATATGTATGTATGTATTTATGTGTGTGTGTGTGGCATAGAGGTGGCATCTCCACCTGCCAGGAAGCCGACCCCCCCACCCAGCCCAAGACCAAATGCCCAACGCCGCCATCGCTGCACGAAGCATCCCAGAGACTCCAGAACACCCGCCACGACCCCGCCCCACGGCCCAGGCCCCTACCCGGACCACTACCATCGGAGGGGGCTGACCCCCCCCCCCCCGCTGGGACCACCCCACCCCCCACACTGCACAAGCCCAGAGAGGGAGGTGTCTTAAAATTCTCCATTTAATGTATCCATCAAACCAGGTATTACAAAGATTTAAAGTTGGAGTTGATGAACCTGTATGATGAACTGACCTGTATGGTTAACTTTTACCTGTATGATGAACTTACCTGTATGATGAACTTTTACCTGTATGATGAACTGACCTGTATGATGAACTTACCTGTATGGTGAGCTTACTTGTATGATGAACTTCCCTGTATGATGACTTTTCCTACTATCTCTATTCTGATCCTTATACCCAGGTCTGAATTTTGTTTGTAGCTTTTGTGAAGTTTGTTCAAATGAGAACATTTGCCAGTTTGTTGACTGGAATTTTTAATAAAGACGGACATGATAGATAGATAGATAGATAGATAGATAGATAGATAGATAGATGATAGATAGATAGATAGATAGATAGATAGATAGATAGATAGATAGATAGATAGATAGATAGAAAGAATGCAAAACAAACAAAAAAACTTCTAATCCAAAGTTTACACATGCGCAGACCTGGGTATAGCAAGGCTGATGTTAAAAAACTTAGATGAATTACAGTACTTCATTTGAGACATTATTGCCCTCTGCTGGAGGAATATTGAATGAAACGTGCACCAAGAAAGAACTAAATCTGAATTTACCGGTACCTAGCATTAAACACTGTTTAATAATGTGTATCATCAAGTAATTAAAATGATCAGCTCTTCTGTGTTGCATTGACTGACGTGACGAATTACAATATGATATTAATAATATTCAAGGAAAAAAGAAGATAAAGAAAACAAAACAAAAACAAGGAAAATAAGATGAAAATATTGAGGCCTATTGTTTGTGTAATTTAAGTGTTGTTTCGGGCTATTATGGTTTACATTATCCATTCTATCTCTGCCTTCAGCCGGACAGGAACTGTTTTGAAGCTTGGCATCCTGATCAGGAGTGACAATTAGTTGTTCTAATATTCATTTATTGTTTTGTATTATTCCTGTAATATAATGTGGGATTTGCTCCAGCTTCCCCGCGACCCAAATGGATAAAGCGGTTTGGATAATGGATGGATGGATGGTTAAGGTTAGGGCTGGGTAGGGGTTATGGTCGTTATGCTGGGATTAGGTTTATATAAAAATTAAGACTAAGCCTTAAAGATATGAATATGTGGAGTGTGCGTGTGTGTGTGTGTGTGTGAAAGAGAGAGAGAGAGATTAAATTTTCCATGATTCGTTAATAAATTCCATATACATTCGTTGTGGCGATTTGATCTTTTAATGCCACTTTATAGACTGTTGTCTTTTTTTCAGGATTTTTAGAATATAAACGTGCATGTGGTTACACTTGGAGCAGTGCGAAGGGGGGCGGCACCGGCGCACATGCTCAGTGCGGAGCGGCCCGGTCATGGCCGCTGCTCGGGGGAAGCAGCGCACTGACTCTCCGTCCATCTCCGCGGCGCAAGTCGCGATAGAAACCGATATCAGGTGTCGCTTCGGCTAAAATGATTGATTTCCGACCGGACAAGCTGCCTGAAAGTAAAACAGGCGGAGTAAAGTGAATCCTAACCACGCAGGTAGGTTTGTTCATAATTTTATTTGTAATATTTATTTATTTACCATTTATATTAAAATTGAAAACGGTGGGAGAAGCGACCTCGCGGATCTGGCTGTGGCTGTCGGCGGGTGCAGGAGCGGCGGG